CCTGAGCCGGTGAGATTTGAACAGCCGAACTGCAGAACTGCAGTCAGCTGAAGTAGCCTGCAGTGCTGCATTTAACCACTGCGCCACCTCGGGAGCACGGAACGCTGTTACCTTCCCAACAAAAGTGGTCCCTATTTTTCTACTTGCATTTTTACATGCTTTCGAACTGCTAGGTTGGCAGAAGCTGGGACGGGCGTGGCCCGACAAATGCGCGCACGACAAAAGCGTGCCGACAAAACCGCGGCGCTAAAACTGTGACATCATCAACACGGCGACAACAGCGCACCGACAGAAGCGCGATTTAAGTTAAAGTAAGGGTTAGGTTTAGGATTAGGTTTAGGGTTAGGTTTACAGCGCACTTCTGTCGCCGCGCTGTTGTCGCCATGCTTCAGCGCTCATTCGTCGGCACGCTTTAGAACTCGCGGTTTTGTCACCGCGGTTTAGTCGGGCGCGCTTTTTGTCGTTCGCCCTTTTGTCGGTGAACCTGTACGGGAGCTCACGCCGTTACATGGCGCTAGGGATTCGAACTGCCAAACGGCCGGCCTTTCTGACCGACAAGCTCAGCGTCTCAGCCACTGAGCCACCGCGGACTAGAAGACCTCCAAGGTCCCATCCAAACCTTAAGCTTACCTTTTTGCGGAAAAAGTTTGCTTTTGATTTCTTGTTATCAGCTGTCTTGGCCTTAACCCCCAGATGCTTCATATACGTGACAATGGCGGTATATATGGCAGAGCTAAAAGGACAGAGCAGAGGAAGAGGGGGAAAAAAAAGATTGTTACGGTTAACACAAAATAAAACCTGCAAGGCTGCCAGCTCAGAATATTCAAGGCAGCCTCGAGTTAAAAAGACACAACCAAACGCAGAAGCAAAGCCTCTTAATTGAACAGGGACACAGCGCACACCTACAACAGCAGCAAACAAGGCTTGTTGCGACCTCCCTCGCCATCACTTCCTTTTTCCAGGCCTGAGAGTTACTAAGAAACCTGCCAAATTTCACTTTTTTTGCGTGTGCTAAATATGCACATGCATGTGGAAAATCTAAGCAAGATTTGGCAAAAAAAAGAGAGAGCTTAAGATACTTTCCAATTCACAAATCTGTTACGTTCCACAGCTCTCTCGCCTCCTCCTCCTCCTCCTCTGCGGATTTGGGGAAGTGTGATCCGGCTCACCGATGGGGGCCAACAAGTGAGGTCGGGCGTCCAGAGAGACACCTCTGACTACAGGCAGTCCTCGACTTACGACAGTTCGTTTAGTGACTGTCGCAACAGCACTGAGAAAAGCGACTGATGACACTTTTTCACGCTTATGAGTGTTGCATGCTCAAAATTCAGATAGCAATAGCAATAGCAGACTTATATACCGCTTCATAGGGCTTTCAGCCCTCTCTCAGCGGTTTACAGAGTCAGCATATTGCCCCCAACAACAATCCGGGTCCTCATTTTA